TTTATAAATTTAAAGACTAAAGATATAAATTAACAAATTTAATGAATTAATTGATAAAAAAAATTAAAAAATATATTTTTCTTAGTTTATGGACTAAAAGAATACAAAATATAATTCAAAAACAAAAAATATTCAAAATTAAAAGTTTAGCAACTAAAATTTGGCGTTCAACCTTCCTGTTAAGCATGGTTAAATTTTGGAGAATCTACCAAGGTGTATAGAAAGTCATAGATTTTTTGATATACCAGAGCAAGAAATTCAAGTTCATGGGGAAGGGATGAGAGGAAGAAGTATGAGTTAGAAACTTAGAACTCTTGTTGTGAAAGAGTAAAAGTCTCCTGTGCTAATGACAAAACCACTTAAATTATCTGGATAGCATGTCAAAAGATGGTCCAAGTCTCAATTCTAGATATGCCAGCCCAAGATTGGTCTTAGCTAGCCACAACCCTTAGTAGCTCCTCGCTCCCAAAACAACTAACCAGTCTTCAATCTAAATTTGATCAGAACCAATCTAGGACGGGGCTGGCATGATGTATTGGATGCTAATCTTAAGACTTCAACCTTAAATTTAGTGTATAAGCCAACACTAATTGTCTTAACAACAATTTAGGGTTGATGGAGCATCTCAATTGCATACCCTTAACATCCAATAAATTAACTAACGAATTTATTAAGGAATTCAGTTTTTTTTGAATAAATTTTAAATTCAACTTTTATAAATATAAAAAAATGTAATTGATATCTAATATATATTTTCCTTATTTCAAAAACATTTAATAAACTAAGGTTACGAATGTGATTGGTCACCCGAATAACTTCACCAAAATCAGCCTATCTCTGCCCTCCACGTTAAGAGATCCCATTGGTCTGTCACCTCACCCTCAAGCATTTCAACGTCGTCCACATCCCCATCACCCCGGAACGCAGAGAGTAACACGGTGTGCTGTTGTCGTCGTCCGCCTCCGGATTTTTCTGCGGCTTATCTCTGCACTCCTGAAAAATGGGGAGCGATCGTTGTGGTGGGAAATGAGGAAATTCCAAAAACGGAAAGCAGGGCATGGGTCTGTAATCTCGTCTTCGCATGCTGATCATCATCGTACATCATTAACATTTTAGCATTATGTTATGGCTTTGATGCTGACATAGCATCCGGGGACGAGAATCAAGGAATCGTCGCCTTCTTCTCCTCCTTCTCCTTCTTCTCTGTGCGTATATATATGGCAACGCCTTCTTTGATTCGAGCTGGTTGTGGGGGTTATTCACTGATATTGAGTAATAATAGACTTAATTGTAACACTAGAAATGGTGGTTATGGTGCTGTAGGTCCGTCATCGTCGTCGTCTTCGTCTTCCTGCTCGTGTTCTTCGTCTTCTTCTTCTCAGAGCCTGAATTTCTCTTCTGGTAATTGTATGATCTATTGCTTCCTGTTTCTATTTCCCATTTCTGTATCACAATTTGCTCCTATGAAATGCTTCTCTTATTTTGGATTAACAAATTTGATTCTCTAGCTGTGGATGTGTGGATATGAGCATTTAAATAGGTGTAGCATTGGAAAAAATAAATTCGAGGCGAAATTGTTAATTGCATTAGAGTCTCCAAAAATCTGAATGATTGCTAAATTACCTGATGGATGTTTGGGGGAAGAATGTCCAAGGGAACCCTGCCGGATGATTGTTTGATTGTTTCTTTGTGATTAGATTATTGTGTTTTAAGTAACTAAGCTGTGATTTACCCGGCAATAGCCTAAGGAATTAATTTTTAGGAGAAATGAACTTTTAAAAGAAAGGAAAAAGGAAAGGGAGAAGTTTTGATGTTTATTATATTATGTATGCTCAATGTGGTATTCCATTAATGCCTTCTGTAATGTTGATGACCTTATGTAGCCTAATATAGTATTTAACTAATGCATTCTGTATCTGTTGTGTCAAGGACCATGTTATGCTATGTATGTATGCCTAATGTAGTATGGCCATTAATGCATTCCACAGTATTAATGAATTTTGGAGTTAAGATTTAGTATGCCACCCTTTTGCTTTTCCAGTGCTCTGGATTTTTAATATGCAAGCTTTTTTACCTTTTCCTCTACTGCCCCAAAGTCATAAAAGTTGGTGTCTTGTGGGGACTGGTGGCAGTGGGGATGGGGAATAAATATTTTTTTACTTTATTAGGCTATTTTGAATCCATCACCAAAGCAATGTTGATTGTTGTTGTATGTGGATTGTAGTGAGAATAGATGGATGTCTGGTGTTGCCTTCTAATACTACTTAATGGTTATCCATATCTGGTGTTTTGGCTTGGTTAGGGTTAAAAAGAGAGCAAGAGAATCTATGGTACATGCCAAGTATAAAAATTTCTTAGACAGTTAGCCATAACAGAATAACAACGTTCAGCTAACTACCACTGTCATCAACACATGCTGTTATTACCAGCTGACTTATTTATTTCATAACTGAATCTCATCATGTGACAATTGCTTTTTTAGCTCTTCAGCCTTCACTTTTGATGATTGAATAACTAAAAATATTTTCCCAAACTCTACTGTTCTGATTTTTCCTTTTCCCTTCTAACAGTTCCCCTACCCTTTTCTTCTATAGTACTGTGATTCTTGTCTTCCTACTTAGTTTCTGGTTTTACATCAAGTTGACTTTGTGCAATAGCATTATGCTCTTGCTTCCTTCTTGTTGTCGTAATTATTATATTTTTCTTTTGTCTGTTTCCTTGAGTATATTAGAACTTGTACAGGAATAAATTATAGTTGGAAGCATCAAGGGTTTAGAGCTCAAGCAATGAGTACCACTGCTCAGGGAAGCTTTGGATCATGCAAGAACATTGTAAATGGGAAAAATGAGCCTGATCATCTTCTTGTTCTTGTTCATGGCATCTTGGCTAGGTATTAGTTGGTAAAGTACTATTCATTTGTATAAATAAATGACTTAGAACATAAGTAACAAGTAAAGGTGGGAAATAAGGTAATGAAAAAACCAGTTATATGCTATCTCTGAATGTGGAACAACCATTGATTATGGAAAAAGATGCTTTCGTTTAGCCCCTGATGGATTTTGTATGCATTAACACTTTTAAAAAATAATCCACCAATTTTTCTATTTTATTGCTAGCTTCAAACACGAGTATGTGTCAGAGTAAACTGAACTGGATGAAACTGATTAATTTATGCTCACACATTAATTTTAAGTATTTCAAAGAGAGTTTGAATTTATTGTTTTTCATTTCTGCTCTTTTTCTCTCAAAATGATGTCACATTGACCTAAGGACATCTCTTAATGTAGCCCTAGTGATTGGACATATGTAGAGGCAGAATTGAAAAGGCGACTTGGAGGAAACTTCTTAATATATGGTACATTCATGTCTTCTGTGCTTAAATTGAATAACAATAATAGGGATGATTTCTGTACTAGTTGCTGTTTTGGATATTTTTCAAGTAGAGAGTTAATAGGTTATTTTATTTACTGTATGAGAAGACTTGTTTGATTAGAAGTGTCCTAATTTGTTATTAATTGGGAGTACTTGATTGAGAACTTGAGATGCACTGGGCATTTTCAAGAGGAAAAGGATGTTTAGAAGTAGTTGTTCTCTGTTTGATTGGGAAGGCACAAATCAAAAGGCTGAGAAGTAGCATAAAAAAAATTAGTGAGCACAAAGTTGCTCTTTCTGTGAAAAATGGTGCTTTCATAATTGTGTTGATGAGACAAAATTATTAAACTCAAGATTAGGACGTAAATTCTGTACTCTAAGTCCAAGAAGTGTTGTTTGATAGAGTCTTTATATGTGAGGTTTTAATTCTTTTCTTTTTGTCCTGCAGCAAGTTCATGTAACACCTACACTAAAACCTTTGCTGGGATTGATGGAGCTGGGAAACGATTGGCTGATGAAGTGAGTCTTAAAGTCTTTGTGAGAATAACTATTATAAGTAAATGTAGGCTTATGCCTTTCCTTGAAATAATTCATTGAGATGAACGATTGATATAGTTGGTTTTTTTTTTTTTTTGGTGTTGCACGGGTTAAGCAAGTTGTAAAGAGAACTGAGAGCCTCAAAAGGATTTCATTTTTAGCCCATTCTCTTGGGGGCTTGTTTGCTAGATATGCAGTTGCTGTTCTTTACTCACCAAACAACTTAATTGGCAGCCAATCTGATGATGTTGCTGAATCTACAGGAAATTCAGAAACATCATGCCCTTCGAGACAATGTATGATTGCTGGACTGGAGCCAATCAATTTTATTACCTTGGCAAGTCCACATCTTGGGGTGAGAGGGAGAAAGCAGGTTTGTTCTGTAGGGTAGCAGTTGTTGTGTTTGTTTTATACATAAAAGTTGACGACAAATTTTAGTCCCTTGTTGCTTATTTTACTTGAAGTAACCCACATATTTATTAAATTTATGAAATACATGTCTCTGTTTACTCTGTTGGACATGATAGCACATCATAATCTTTCTGGTGCAAGAGGAGAAAAGTATATTTTTACTGCTTTCCATAATTCCATTTGACTATAAGTTGGTGAACTTTTGATAGAATACATTTTAAATTGGAAATCTCTGCAGAAAAAATAAACCTTTTTGTGTGAAAAAGATTCTTTTCTTATGTTTTGCCAACCAAAGCTTTGGATTCTTTCTTTTCGTGATTTTAAATTTTTTTATTATTTTTCTTTTGGTAATTAAACAATGCTACCACCAGTCAACCATGCTTGCAGCTTCATAATACCATTTTAGGTACTTGCAACCCTCTCTATCATAGTGGAATCTAGAATGTTTCAATAATTCTAACTTCTGAGATTCATTATGGAGCTTTTTATGACATCAGCAAAAGAAATATCTATTTAATTGCAATAAATCTAAATTCGGTTATTTGATATGTTGAAGATTGTGAAGTTATATCAGAGTTGGTAACTTAATGTCTCCTCTTTCACGTTAACAGCGCACACACTTACATTTTACATCTGCAGTAATTAAGGAAATTAAGCTTGTGCTTTTATGAGGTTCCTTTGTCGTAGCATATATATGTTTATTAGTTTGTTCATTTGACGACTTTTATTCCAGTGGCAGAGTCCATGGAGAACCAAAAATAGACAGCTTTAATTGTTAATTGTTAAAATTTCTTGCAATATCGAGTTGTTCCTGGATTGTTTCCATACTCCTTGAATCTAATTTGAGACAATGTATTTAATTTTGATGTTACTGATGACGCCTGCCATTTTCATCTGTTTCCTACACATGATTCATTTGTTTAGTTGTTTCTGATTGTGCTTCAGCTTCCAATTCTTTTTGGAGTTCCCCTTTTGGAGAAACTTGCCCCACCTGTAGCTCCTTTTTTGGTTGGTCGCACTGGTAGTCAATTATTTCTTACTGATGGTAAACCCAAGAAACTGCCGCTGCTCTTGAGAATGACATCCGATTGTGAAGATGGAAAATTTTTGTAAGTGCATACCTTTTATTGTTACCAAAGCTGCTCTCGTCTTTCCTAACTGCTTTTGTGGTTTTGTCTGCAGATCTGCACTTGGTGCATTTAGATGTCGCATTGTCTATGCAAATGTGTCTTATGATCGTATCCTTCTGCATCACATCTATCTGTCTCTACATTCACTCTCTCTCATTTTGTTAGCCTCAATTCCCTGTTTGATAAGTTTCTTTGACATCAAATAGATATGGTTGGTTGGCGCACATCCTCCATTAGGAGAGAGACAGAACTTGTTAAGGTTAGTTTGCTGGTTTCTCTTCTCCATCTGCATAAAAAGCTGAATAAACCCCCCATTATTGAAATGACTCATAACATGCGTGAAAAATAAAGGTAAATAAAGTTGATGAGTTAGCTTTTAAACTAAACGCTCTACTAGAAGTTTGTTTTACATTGCCTGCCATTAGGATTTCTATGCAGCAGATGAATTTTAAGTGCTGGATGGAGCAGTATATCCTTTAGTTTTTCATACTTCTGATGTTTGCTTCTCAATTGCAGCCTCCACTTCGATCTTTGGATGGTTACAAGCATGTTGTGGATGTGGAATACTGCCCATCAGTTTCTTCTGATGGCCCTCGTTTTCCTCCAGAAGCAATCAAAGCAAAGGAGGCTGCACAAAATGCACCAAACGCACAAAACACAACAGAATATCACGAATGCATGGAAGGCAAGTTATCTGTGTAGATAGCACTGATATTATATTGGTCATGATGATTTTCCAGTGACATTAAAAACTAAAGTCAGCAATAATCTTTTGCACTGGTTAACAGAGGAAATGATACGAGGCTTACAGAAGTTAGCATGGAAAAAAGTAGATGTCAGCTTTCCATTCGGCATTCTGGCCCTTCTTTGCTCACAACAACATACATGTAATAACTTCATTTTAACCTTTTTATTTCGGAAATGGTTTCAAGTCCTAATCAATCCCCACTGAGATGTTGTTATTCATCTTCCAGGTAAAAAATGAGTGGCTTCATAATGCTGGTACCGGAGTGGTTGCTCACGTTGCAGACACCCTAAAGCAACAGGAATCCTCTTCCTCGTATATTTCTGCTAGCTTGTACCTTTGAATTGAATATAACCACATGGTACCCAAATTAGTTGTAGAACAAATGTTTTTTTCTATTTACATGTCATGTAATTTGAATTTATGATTTTTTACTTTTACTAAAAAGAAATTACGACTGAATTATTTAGGTTGTTGAAAGTTATAAAACAAATGTTATATGTAAAATGAAACGGAATAAAATGAAATATTTTTCCTGGTACTGTTATAGATTCTACCAGAGTGACACCGTGCTTACTGCTGTGGTGAAAATGTGAAATTAACTCTAGCCAGATAGAATTGGAAAAATGACTTTTTTGGTGCACTATCAATTCAACCTCCACACAATCGTAATGGTCAAGAGTTTGAATTTTCGTTAGATGCATCAGATTTTAACTTTGACACAAGCAGTGGTCTCAGATTTAACATTGAGACGAGAAGATACGGAATTACAAAATGAAAAAGCTACAAGCTTACAAATCAACAAAAGCTGGTCTAATTTTCATCCGAAAGCCCATAAAACTTTGTTGGTAGATTTGAGATGTAGTTATTGTTATAGGAAAAAATGTTAAATTCATTAAAATTTTAAATTTTATTTTTAAGTAATGTTTAAAAATGTTAACTTATTTATTAATTAATGAATATTAATTATTTTTATTAATTATTAATTCTAATTATTAATTTTTTATCAATTAAATTAAATAAAATTAATATTTTTAAAAATATATGTTATAATTTTAATAATTTTAACATTTTTACTAATAATCATTTCCTTAACCGTAGTTTTGGGTCCTACCGTAGTGGCACCCTGTGTCTGTTTTGGTAAGTTTCAACTGTAAAATAAAGTGAAACGAACAACCAACTTTAAATCCACCTAAATGCCGACCTGTCACCATCATTTCTTTTTGGCCTTTTTCCTATTCCAAACCCAGATTTAAGGTATATTTTATCTTTCGTAATCCCTCAATAGTTATATACTTTTTTTTTTTTAATAAATTCACATAAGTTGGATTCGAATAATTACTTTGAGTAAAAGAATACATTTATACATAGTCTGACGCAACTGATATACATAGTCTGACGCAACTGAATCTGAAGGTCCAAATGCTTCAATAATTATATACTTTATCATAAGTTATATTTTAATTTTAAAATTAAAATTAAAATTTCCCTTTCCAAAATTATAGTCTGTTAAAAAAACTTGGATTTTGGATGTTTATCCTATATTGTTTATGTGTGTAGGTTAAATAATATATATAGAATTTTATTTAAATTTAAATTAATTAATTTTAAAATTATGATGTATTTTATTATTATATTTTTTTGATACATAAAATTATGATGTCTTTTATATCTATATCATGTCTCCACTCTTTTAAAAAGAAGTGAAAGAAAAAACAATCCGTTCTAATCTAGTGATATTAAAACTATTTACTTTCGATGGGTTGCATGTTCAAACCCCACGAAATCCTCTTCTCTCACGACGAATTAACCTTATAAATAATTATAAATTGTTAAAAAAAAAAAACGAAAAAACCTAGATTGTCCGTGGCATTCCTAATTCATAATCCGACGACGTTTCGCGCGAAGACACCGCAATTTACGCTTCGCTGTCCTAGATCGCCAGTGGGTTTTGGTCTTCCAGGTCCAAACCGTGGCGGCCCGCCCGTCTTGTCCCCCCAATACTTTATTTCTTTCCATTTTAGTCCCTAACTGGTCCTTCCTAGTCCCCACCAACCAAACCATTAGCTGGTGATCGAGACGACTTTTCACGGTCACTGCGGGAGAGCATCTTTCTTCTCTGTCTAGAGTGAGAAATTGGTGGTTCTGCGGTACTTTTCCTGAGAGAAACCCATTCTCAGACTGAGATCGGCTATGGATTTCTCCAAAGAACGAGAGAACTACGTTTACATCGCCAAGCTTGCAGAGCAAGCCGAGCGCTATGATGGTCTGTACGCTCTTTCTCTCTCTCTTTCTTTCTTTACCTTCTGTTTGGTTGATGAGAAAACGCAAGAAAACAGAAGAAACCGTGTTGTTCCCCGTTCTGGTTTTGCTGTTTGCTTTAATTGACCAGAGTATTCTGCATTTTCTGTTTCTTCTCCTCTCTCTCTTCCATTTTGGAAAATCGAAGTTTCGAATTAGTAATCCATGGTTTTCCACACGGTTCAGTAGGGTGAAGTATCGAGATCTACAATTTTAGATTTATTTCTTAGCATCAGCAGCCAAACAAGTCAAAGTGTTGGATGATTTTGTTTTTCACTGATTTATAAAGTTGCAATTGTTACAGAAATGGTGGATTCCATGAAGAAGGTGGCTAAACTTGATGTGGAACTAACAGTAGAGGAGCGGAATCTGCTCTCTGTGGGGTATAAAAACGTGGTGGGTTCACGACGTGCTTCGTGGAGAATCCTGTCCTCAATTGAGCAAAAGGAGGAGACAAAAGGGAACGATCTAAATGTTAAGCGGATTAAAGGGTACAGGCAGAAGGTGGAATCAGAATTGTCAAGTATTTGCAGTGATATTATGAGCGTGATTGATGAGCATCTCATTCCCGCCAGCACGGCTGGGGAATCTACTGTATTTTATTACAAAATGTAAGTGATTTTTGGTGTTTTGGGGTTTGTGAAGTTGAATGCTTGCGTGGTGATAGTGGGGTTTTGAGGATTTTTACTTTTCTTTTATATATGATATCTTTTATGCTGCAGGAAAGGGGATTATTTTAGGTATTTGGCTGAGTTTAAGACTGGTGATGAGAGAAAAGAGGCTGCTGACCAGTCAATGAAAGCATATGAGGTGCGTGTGTAGTGGTTACTTCCCTTTGCCTTTTGTTAATCGCCTTGTTACCTTTGTTGTCAATTGTCTTGTTACTCATGTTAACTTAGAAATTCAAGATGGTCCGTGCATGACGACGTTGTTAATTTAGTTTTGTTTGGCGAAAGTCTATGCTTTTTTCCTATTGATGATCATGTGTAGAAGTGAAGGAAGAATAAACATGGGCATATAATGTTTGCTTGCCTTCAAACATGGAGAACCTTTTGATTGAAAGAATACACTTGTGAATTGTGGTGTTTATCTCTTGCCTCCAATTTTTTTAATCCACTTTTATGGATAATATAACATATAGGAAAGTTGGAAAGTTGGAAAGTGGATCTGATTATTATGCACTCTGTTTAAAAGAGAAGTCTCATTTTTATGTTATTTCCATTTACAAACGCAGACAGCATCTACTACAGCAGAAGCTGAGTTGCCTCCAACTCATCCAATCCGCCTGGGTTTGGCATTGAACTTCTCTGTTTTTTATTATGAGATCCTGAATTCTCCTGAAAGGTTTGCATACTTTTATCTTTGTTACACTCTGTAATTTATTACTTATATCTTTGTTTTTTGGAAATCCATGTTACATGGTATGCATGAACTTCAGGGCCTGCCACCTAGCAAAACAAGCTTTTGATGAAGCTATCTCAGAGCTGGATACATTGAGTGAGGAGTCATATAAAGATAGTACATTGATCATGCAGCTCTTGAGGGACAACCTCACTTTGTGGACTTCTGACATCCCAGAAGATGGAGGTAAATCCTAAAATTCTTGAAGAGATAATAGCTTAACTATTCTTTCTTCTCTTAGATCTACTTCGAGTGCACTTGATATATGAGTGAACCATGGAGTGATTTAATTTACTTCATCTGTTCAATATTTGGTATTCAACCTCGTAACTAATTGTGTTCTTCTTCAAATTGTTATAGGTTGGTTACATTTATCTATGTTGTGCATTTTAGGACTTCTATTGATTGTTGATTACTTCTTTTGAAGTACCTCACTTACACTTTGAAGATGCATAGATGTGTTCAGTAGTTAGATGAGTTGACCTCATTTTGTTCCCTGTTACTGGCAGTAGCTATGTTGTGTGCTCTGTTGGATGCATTTGTCAATGAATATGATTCTGGCATGATGAAGTGCTGGTTCGGTACAGTAAGAGAAGAGTGGAATATAGAAACACTGTATTTATGTTCATGGGAACATAATCCCAATGAACTAAATTTGCTCCTGAACTATTCTTGCCCATAATTTTGATGTGGAGTGTTTTGATTATATTTTTGCATTAGTGTAATCCAACCCCACCCCCACCTTTCCAAAAAAAAATTGTTTTTCTTGCTTCAATCAGCATTTTATGATGGTGATAGTATTTTGTATATTAACATCTTCATTCTACAGCATGTGAAATTTGCTCATAAGAGCAGGTGGTGAACATTCTCTTGGAAATTGAATGACCTTCTTTTATATTTGATTTTTGATTCTTCATAATTTGGGATATGTTTTTTTTGGTATATGGCTCAGTTCTCGTCAATACATGAATTGATAGTAAAATGTGTTCTCATTTCTTTCCTACCACAGCAGAAGAAGCTCAAAAGCTGGAAGGCACTGCTAAAGCTGGTGAAGGAGAAGAATGAAGATGGCAGAGGCAGAGGTGGGTTATCTTCTTATTCAGAGAATCCATCTATTGCCATCTTTTGTCTTAAGGCATCAGTCCCTTCTCTCTCTCTTTCCTCTTTTTTTTTTTTTTTTTCTTGGGTGTGGTTATCATGGTCGCTTGAAGCCTGTAACATTAAAGGCAGTAGTGCCTCTATCTCTAGGTTTTATCTGAGTTTTTGGGTGATATTTGACTATTTTCTTCCTGTTATTAGCATGTTGATATTATTATGATGATTGTTTGGTGTTTGGACTGCCAACTACATTTTAAAATTTATAGTCTGCTTTCTGCAGCTTTGATCAAATTGGAAAGTTATGCTAGATTGCATAAGAATGTGTTCTCTACTTGAATGCTTTTCTTTTTTTTTTTTTTTTTTTTTTTTTGGATTGATGATTCAAGTCAGACGATCGAGATTAGGCATTATTGCTTGTTTGTAACTGTACAATCTTTGCCAAATTGACTTAAAATTTCCATGGGAGGGCTTGTTGATATCATTAAAATCACTCTTCTATGAGATTACAATTTGGCCTCTATATACTAATACCAGCTATTGCCCTTGCTGTGCCTAAGTCAGTAAAATAAATCTTGTTTTACTCCATCTGATATTTTTAACCTGTGGTTACGCTGTCTTAGATTGGATTTTTTATTTTATTTTATTTTATTTTTTGTGTACAAATTTTAATAGTTAGTTATTGGTATGGTTTGAAGGAGAAACGGTGAGGATTGTCCTAAAATTAAGGGCGGAATCTCCATATTAGGACACATATTGTTTGAAAACGGGAGAGATGAAGGGGTCAACATAATTGTTATAACCTCCAAGCAAAAAACGAGGAAGAATTGAGAACCTCAAAACTATAAACTGCTACTTCGTAGCCCAATATTAAAAGGACTGATTCTCCATCTTTTGTAAATTCAGAACTCTACCCAAACAAAAGAAATATAGAGACAGGAATAATGGCAAAGTCTCCCAGTGTCATCCTCTTCCTTGCCTCGGCTCTCTGTGTTCTGTCCTTGGCCGTTGCCCATGGCAATCCCATTCCCCGCTTCTACGTCGAGGGCAAGGTGTACTGCGACACCTGCCGTGCCCAATTCGTCACCCGTATCAGCGACTACATGGCAGGTATTTATACTCCTCAGCCGTTATGGTTTTCCAGATTTCACAGGAGATGGTGAAATTTTATGCATGTTATTGTCTGGAAACAGGGGCAAAGGTACGGTTGGAGTGTAGAGACCGTGAAGGCGGAACCGTAAAATACTCAGTTGACGGCCAGACCGACAAGTTAGGCACCTACGTCCTTACAATCGACGGAGAGCATGAGGAGGAGGTGTGCGACATTACACTGGTCGAATCCAGCGACAATGAGTGCTCCGAAATCAACCAAGACGCATTCCTCAGGAAGAGCGCCAGGATTAGCCTCACCACCAACAATGGCATCACTAGTCCTGTTCGCCTTGCTAATCCGCTCGGCTTCATGAGGAAGACTCCTCTCCCTGAGTGCACTGAAGTCCTCCGAGAACTCGGAATCACCCCCGAAGGCCTCTTTTAATCTCCATTTCACGGACCTGCTTCCATGCTTTGGATACTAATAAACCAAAGCGTTTGTCCCTTTTTTTTTTTTTTCATTCTATTCGCAGAATTGTTGTCTTCTAATTCTCCATACATTATTATTATGTATCTGTGCTGATTATTCCAACAAATTCACGTGAATTAATGCTTTCTTTCTCCAATTTCACATCGTTGGTATCTCGTCGCACTAACATTTCCAATGTAGAGTTCTTCTAAATCATCATATTATAAATTATGGAATCATCTAGCACAATTAATGGTAATTGCGAAAGAAATTATGAGTACACTTCAACTTTAAAAAATGCTTTTAAAAGCTTTAATAAAACGCTTTTAAAAGTTTAATAACTTGTGAAGAACGAAGCATCTTTCAAAGAATTCCTTGAAATTTTGCAGCCTGCTCACAATGTCTTCCTCTTCCACAAATACTTTCCCCCAAGGGACTGCATTATCCCCACTTTAATATCGCCTATATATTTAGAATTTGCAGACTATTTAAGTAGGGGAATTGCAGAAAATGGATGTTTTGGTAATCAAAATATCAAGATTTTATATGAAATTATTTAAATAATTTTAATAAATTAATATATAAAAAAGACTTATTAATAATATTTAAATAATTTCATAGAAAGTTTTAGCAT